ATTTCAAGAAAAACAACTAAGGGACAATTCAAGTTAAATTATCGAAATCAATCAAAAGAACAAACCTTGGTCTATGTCAATATCCACCATCGGAATTTTACAATTGATCATTGATGCAAGTATATATCAATTCATACTTTGAATATTCACCGTTGAAACTATTTTCCTATCTCTCCTTAGTTGCAGTTAATTGGGAAACAAGCAATCTAATTAATCTTACTACTAAACAACCCAAAACAAGCGTTAAAGTTTTAATCTAGTAGCAGCATTAAGAACTAGAGAGATCGATGAAGCTGAAGCACACAAACACAAGCGGTTGTATTTAATTTAGTCGAGCGTTCTTCTTAAGATTTAATAATTCTTGACTCAGCAAATTCTTAAATCTTAGTTACTCACAAATTAGAAGGATCAAACAATTACGGATTTGATATCTAATTTAGCGATAAATTGCAACAAATAATAAATTAGTAGGCCTCCTAGTAATTAAATGAGACAATCATGAAAATAGGCATAGAAGAACATCCAATACTCAAAGCATATATTGAACACGAAAAACATATTGGATCTCACAGTTTTATTGATTCCGAGGCCTCTGTTTCCTTTGACCAAATTATGAAAATTTAGCCGCTCATGGCCATCATGAAAACTCAAAGGAGAAGTTGAAGAAGAGAATCCCCCGCATAAATTTATTGTTAATAATAAGTAAGGTTAGTGAGAGAAAATGCACTCTGTTCTCTCTCGGATTAGTGAAACAGCCCACCTTCCATCCTTTTTCCACTCCTCAGTCCACCTTCATCACCCATCCTCCACCTTTACCAGTAAACACCTCCTTCTCATCTAACCAGCCATCTTCCATCTTTTTCGTTTTTCTTCTGAGCTTTTCTGGTCAGTTTAGTTGCTGTTTGGGGATACGTTGTTGTTTGGAGTGGGTGTTTTTTGGAGTGGTGAAAGTCTGGTCGGTTTGGGCGCGATTTTGTGGTGTTGGTTGGTGTTGGGAGTGTTGTTGGCCGGAGTTGGGCTTGCTTGGCCTGAGTTTCATCCTGCTGAGCTGAAGCTTTGTTGTTTTGTTCGGGAGAGTTGGACGTCCATGCTTGTTGTTGTTGCTAGGGTGTTGCTTTGGGGTTGGTTGTGCTGTCACCGGAGATTGTAGTTGTGCTGCCGGAGCTTGTGGTTGTGCTGCCGTAGCTTGGTTCATCTTGTTGGCTGGAGCTTCTCTGGTGTGGCTGGTCTTGGTTTCTTTTTCAAGAATGTGAGTGTGGTTGTTGGTTTGAATTCTTTCCCCTTTTATCTTTGGCTAAGATTCTCTTTTTCTCCTATTGGCTTGGTGGATTTGCTTAATCCATTTCCTTTGGACTGGTTAATAATAGCAAGTTCCATAAGTGATTTTCCTTCCCACCTCACCTCTTCCTATTGGTTATTGTTATTTCCTTTTTCCCTTATCTTACAAATCCCCAGATCATCCTATCCTTTCACTGGTCATGCCACCTCATTGCCCTGTCATCCCTCATCCCCCCACGCGTGCCACATCACCCTAGGTGCCACGTCATCAGGTGAGGAAAAAAAAATTTCAATTTTTCCAGCTACCTCTATTCCTTGCCTCCTATGGGGGCTGTTGAACGTGAGAAAAGCTCTGGTTTGAGTGAGCAATATCCAAACATTGAGGAAATGAAAATTGCAAGTGTTAGGAATGGTACTTTGGTGCCTACTGGAGTCTTGAAAGTGGCCGCCATTTCTAATAGAGAGTATGTCCAAGTCCGGTTGGTGAAATCTATTCATGGAGGGAATTCCGAATTTGAAGAAGGTGGAATTATTTTGGTGGATAGAGGAGCTGTTTGTGCTGAATCCAAGGGTGCTTTGGAGGGTAACCGAGTTTCTTCTAGGATAGGTGAAAATGGGAAGGACACAATCTGTCATGGCGGGGATAAGGGCCGTGAGGTTGTCAGGGCACCTATTGCTATAGAAAAATCCGGCCAAAATGATGTGCTATTGGCAAAAGGTGAGCTCAATCCAAAGCTAGGGAGCTGCTTTGATGGAAAGGGGAGATTTTATGAAAATGTGGCAGTGAATGTTGATGAGATTTCTAAGGATTACCCCCCTCTCCCAAGCAAAGTGGTGGATAGAGGGAATAAAATTGAGAGGCCAAACGGTTGTGGTGATGAAAACAGGTGAAAGTGGAGGGAAAAGGAGCTTGGACAAGTGTTCTTGTCTCAAAGAGGTCTGATATTTCCCTTGAATATGTCAAACCAAATATGAGCAAGGGAGGTGGTAAGTTTAGAATTTGATTCCCTACTGAAATTGCGGCTTTAGGAATAGACAAATGGAGTAATTGTCTAGTTAGGTTTTTCCTTGGGAGGAAATTACCGTTTTACCAAGTAAAGAGCTATGTTGATAGAAACTGGAGTCGTTTTGGAGCTGTGGGGGTCACTTCATATGGGCACGGGGGCTATTCGCTTAAGTTCCCAGATGAGGTTACTAAAATGGATGTGCTGGAGGGTGGTCCATGGTTCATAGGAGGACAGCCTTTCTTTTTGAAGTTACGGACTCCTAATTTGTCGTTGGGCATGAATGGGATTACTAGGGTTCCCATATGGGCGAAATTCTACGGTATCCCTCTTGAGTTATGGACGCCCAAGGGTTTAAGCCACATTGTAAGTGTTATAGGCACCCCTCTTTATATGGAAAATATTACCGAATCGGGCGAAATGCTTGAATTTACTAAAGTGTGCGTTTAGATGGATTCTTTGGCAGAGTTTAAGGAGGAATTTGAGTTGGAGATGCCGAGTGGTGAGCTTGCATTAGTTAAGGTGGAGTATGCTTGGAAGCCATTTACCTGTGTTTGGTGCAAAACGTTTAGGCACGTCCAAAGAAACTGTCATTTTGCTCCTAAGGAAACCGGATCGTTGTTACTCAAAAAGCCGACTTCTCCTCATGTGCAAGAATGGAGACAAGTTGCTAGTAAGAAGAATATGAGTGTTCCTCAAGAAGTAAGTCAGTAGAGGGTAGAGAGAAAGAAGGAAGGTGAGGCCCCGAAACCTTGTGAGAGTGTGAACCAATTTGTGGTGCTACCTGAAGAGGGTGAGGAAAAGAGACATGTTGCTGACAGGGAGGAAAGGAAGAGCGGGAATGGTATTAAGGAAGGGTCGCAAGGTGAAACAGAGTGCAGTAGAGCGGTTTTCAGGGAGGAAGCTACGTATGCAAATGAGGATAGAGAGGAGAGAACTCCAACTAGTAAGGCTCTTTCCTTTAATATGTTTGAGGACGGTGACATGGGAACTAACTCTCCAATTTGTCAACCGTTTGGGAATCCTGTACACGTGGATGAAAAGGAAGGATTGGAGAAGGAAAAAGGAAGCCTTTCTAAGAATAAAGGGAAGAAACTAGCGAAGAAGGCGAGAACTCCACCGAAGCAACCTCATAGCCATGGTTAAAGTTGCTGCGTGGAATGTTAGGGGGCTCAATTCCCCCATTAAACAAAAAGAGGTAAGGAATCTTATTAGTAGCAATAATTTAAGCTTATATGCTGTTTTGGAGACTAGGATTAGGGAGAATAACATGGATGTTGTTAGGAAAATGGTGTTCCGTAATTGGGCTATGGTTGAGAACTACTGTTTTTGTGAAAGGGTGAGAATTTGGGTGGGTTGGGATGGAGATATTTTGCATGTGCAGGTTTTCCAAACTTTAGCTAAAGCAATTCTTTGCAAGGTTAGAATTTTGAAAGATAATTCCATGCTTTTTTGTTCTATTGTCTATGGCATGAATAGTGTGGGGAGAAGGGAAGGAGCTTATCCACCATGCCAATGTTTGCCAACGTGAGCAATGGGTTATTATGGGCGACTTTAATGCGGTTAGATTTTCAGGCGAAAAGAAGGGAGGTTCTAATAAATGCAATTCACAATGTGAAGAGTTTAATGACATGTGTAAGGAAGCTGATATTGATGATCTTAATGCCATAGGTTCATTCTTCACTTGGAATAACAGAGGAGAGGTTAATAGGAGGATTTGGTGTAAACCTGATCGGGTGATGTGTAATGGGCATTGGAGCAGCAGGTTTCCCAACTCTTTTCCGTCCTTCCTTACTCCGGGCATATCGGACCATTGTCCAATGGTGGTTGATAGTGGGCTGAACTTTCAAGGTAAGAAATCCCCTTTCAAGTTTTTCAACTTTTGGGAAGAGCATGAGGACTTCTTACCTATCATGGAGAGAGTATGGAGTGTGGAGGTGGAGGGTAACCCCATGTACAGGCTAGTCTCTAAGCTAAAAGTGTTGAAGGTTGAGCTCAAGAGACTAAATAGAAAGGAGTTCTGGAACATTTTGGAAACAGTGAAATTTGTAAGAAATGATCTGGCCCAGGTCCAAGAAAGGCTTGTTGTGGATCCGGTTGATGGTGCTCTTTTGCAAGAGGAGAAACTTAAGGTGGAAAAGATGGTCAAGCTTTCAAAAGCCGAAGAATCATTAGCCAAGCAAAAGTCTAGGGTTAAATGGTTACAGGAAGGGGATGCTAACACTTCTTACTTCGTTATGGAGGAATAGAAATAAGATTGTGTCCTTGGAAATTGGGGAAGATTCGGTTACTAGTGATCAAGATAGAATCAAAGAGGAGTTTGTGTCTTTCTACTCAAATCTTTTTGAAGATAAGTGTGTGGGCGTTTCCTATGAGGGCATGGAGGAACTTATCACCCCTGTTATTTTGGAGGAGGAGGCCAACTCCATGATTAGTGAGGTTTCCAAAGAAGAGATTCAAGAGACCATGTTTGGAATGAGTAAAGACAAAGCACCGGGGCCAGATGGTTATGGAGCTTTTTTCTTTCAAAAGGCTTGGGATATTGTAGGTCATGATATTGTTAAACCGATCTAAAATTTCTTCAAGTTTGGGAAAATACTTAAAGAGGTCAATTGTGCCATTATTGCGTTAGTCCCAAAGAATGAAAACCCCTCATCTTGTAATGAGTTTCGGCCGATCTCATGTTGTAACACCATCTACAAATGCATCTCCAAGATTATGGCCAATAGAGTTAAAAGAGTTTTGCCTCAGTTCGTCAACAAAGCCCAAGGTGCCTTCGTGGGGGGGAGGAAAATTGTGGATAATATCCTTTTGAGCCAAGAACTTCTCCACCACTATGACAAGAAGTCGGCCAAAGGGGCTAGATGTGCAATGAAGGTAGACCTTATGAAAGCTTATGATTCTGTAAGACGAGATTTCGTTATTAAAGCTCTAGAGCTTCTAAGGTTTCCTTTGAAGTTTATTGGGTGGGTAGAGAAGTGCATCAAAACTCCTAAATACTCTGTAGCTGTTAATGGGGAATTATCCGGATTCTTTAGCGGAGGGCTTAGGCAGGGAGACCCTATCTCTCCCTTTCTCTTTCTGATTGCCATGGAGGTTCTATCAAGACTTCTAAATAGAGCAACAAGGGAACCTTCTTTTAAGCACCATTAGAGGTGCAAAGAGTAAAACCTAACCCATCTTTGTTTTGCAGATGATTTAATGATTTTTTGCCACACGGATGAAAACTCTCTTGGCATTTTCAAGAGAGCATTGGATTGTTTCAAGTTTTGGGCGGGGTTAGAAGCAAACCCCTCAAAAAGCAACATTTTCTTCTCCGGGGTGAGTGAGGAGGGCAAACAAGCTCTTTTGCCGATTCTTGGGTATCAAGAAGGAAAGCTTCCAATGAAGTATTTGGGTGTTCCTCTCATAACCAAAAAGCTTTCCCCTTCTGATTGCAAACCTTTGGTGTATAAAATCTTGGCTCGCATTCAATCTTGGCGGAGCAAATTCCTCTCCTATGCTGGTCGTGTAATTCTCATTAATTCCATTCTTTTTAGCATTCAAGTTTATTGGTCATTTATTTTCTTGCTCCCTTCAAAGATTCTTAATGAAATTGATGCTAAGTTAAGGGCCTTCCTATAGTCTGGGAGTGACATGAAAACCTCAAAGGCCAAAGTTGCATGGGAAGAGGTTTGTGTCCCTGTTGAAGAAGGTGGGTTGGGGATTATGAGAGCTAAGGATTTGAATAAGGCAGCCATGATGAGACATGTTTGGAATCTTAATCAAGTAAATAGTGGCTTCGGATGGGTTGAGTGGATCAAAGCAACGTACTTGGTGAGGAAGAGCTTTTGGGAGATTCCTATACCTTCGGATGCTTCTTGGGCTTGGAGAAGCATTTTAAAGCTTAGAATGGAAGCTAGAGAGCACATCAAAGTCATCATCGAAAATGGTCAAGCAACTTATGTTTGGCGTTATAATTGGCACCTAAGAGGCCCTCTCAAGGATAGATGTGGCAGCCACATTGTATATGATTCAGGGCTACAACATCTTGCTAAGGTGTGTGAGATTTGAGATGGGATAAGGAGGCGATGGCCAACGGCTAATTCTTGTGCTTTGATGGACATGAAGGATTCTATCGACTTTGGTCTAAAGGAGGGCGAGGACGTGGTTTTTTGGAAGCCTAATGCATCTAGTAAGTTCTCTATAAAATCGGCTTGGGAGGTTACTCGTGTGCACCAATGCCAAGTGGAGTGGCATCATCTTGTATGGTTCCCAACAACCATTCAACGACACTCCATGATCACGTGGATTGCATGTAAGGATCAGCTTCAAACTAGGGACAAACTGATGAGGTATGGAATAGCCTCTAGCAATGTGTGTTGTTTTTGTAATCATGGGCAAGAAACGATTGATCATCTCTTTTTTGCTTGTCCTTTCACCCAAAGGATTTGGAACCGAATCCTTGAGCTCTCTTCTCTTGGTTATGTCACTCAGCCTTGGAACGATCCTTGTCTTATGTTTTTTTTTTGTTTGCCGCTGCGTACATGGACGTTTCCTAAAAGTCGGCCAATCTACCTCAGGACAAGCCTTGGGTTAAGAGCAAAAGAATGATACTATCTAAGTCTACCCCTAATTTTCTCCTTTTCCCACACCTCTTGTCAAAGGAATGGAACCAAGCGGAGATTAATGAATAATCCCACCCACCACAGGACATGCCCTGGGTTAGGTTCGAAAGTATCAAAATAAAAAAAACCCATATGCATAAGGTAAGGCCCGATAATCACACAAAGACAAAGCACTAGATCAACATCCCAAGTCTTTCAATTGTCAAAGTAGCCTCTTCTAGCATAATCACCCGCCGGGATGTCATATAACCAAATCCCCTTACACGACAAAAAACCCATCACATAACAACTAACCATATAATTAGCTCCCTTGGGATGTTTTAAAAATAGACATAGGGAGACCCCATTTCTCGGGAAGTCTTCTATTGTAGGTATTCTTTATGATCTTGCTAAGGTCCATAGCTCTCTCTCTCACCACTGATGGATTATTGTCCTTGAATGTAAATAATATTTTTTATGGAACTCTGCCAACTACGACAAGTTGAGCTAAACATACCGGAAGGAATGTGGGATAATAGCACAACTCACCCTTCCGTATATACCGCAACACAATAGGGTATTTGAAAGGAGAAAAAGAACCTTACTTGACATAGTTAGGTCCATGATGGGTTTTAGTGATCTACTTGCATCATTCTGGGGTTATACCCTAGAGACAATGACTCACGTTATGAACCGTGTGCCGTCAAAGTCTTTAGATAAGACTCCATATGAACTATGGAGTAGGCGAAAGCGAAACTTGTCTTATCTAAGGATTTGGGGGTGTGAAGCTTATGTTAAGAAATTGACTTCGAACAAGCTGGGTCCAAAATCCTGTAAATTTATATTTGTAGGGTATCCAAAGGAGACCAAAAGATACTATTTCTACCACCCACAAGAGTGCAAAATCTTTGCTCCTCGTTCTGGTTTCTTCCTAGAAAATGATTTTTTTCCTAAGAAGTACTAGTGGGAGAAAAATAGAACTCGATGAAGTCTAGAACCACAAATAATACTAGATGAAGGATAGGAAGATGTGCCACAGGAAGTGGTTGAACATCAAGAGGAGGTTACTCCACAATTTATGGATAAAAGCGAACCACTTTAGGTAGAACAGAGCTACATAGATTTGGGAGAGTACGCCATGAGCCCGGGAGATACGTTTATCCAGTGACTCAACATGGTGATGTACTAGTCTACCAAGACGATGAACGTAGAACCTACGAAGACGCTATATTAGATCTAGATTCCGTTAAATGGCTTGAAGCCATGAAATCTGAGATGGACTCCATGTACCAGAACCAAGTATGGTCTTTGGTGGAAGCACCTGAAGGGGTAAAACCCATAGGGTGTAAATGGGTATTCAAGAAGAAGATTGACGTGGATGGCAGGTGCATATTTATAAGGCACAACTAGTTGCCAAAGGTTTCAAACAAATTCAAGGTATTGACTATGAAGAAACCTTTTCGCCGGTTGCCATGATTAAATTCATCCGAATTATGCTTGTGATTGCTGCATATCATGATTATAAGATTTGCCAAATGGATGTCAAAACAACTTTCCTAAACGAAAACCTTGAAGAGATCCATTTATGGACTCAAGCAAGCTTCAAGGAGCTGGAACATTCGTTTTGATGAAACCGTAAAAGAATTCGGTTTTATCAAGAACAAAGATGAACCCTGTGTTTAAGAGAAAGTGAGTGGGAGCGCAGTGGCATTCCTAGTGTTTTATGTGGATGACATACTTCTGATCGGGAATGATATACCGAACTTGCAGTCGGTAAAGACTTGGTTATCCAAGTGCTTGTCTATAAAGGACATAAGGGATGCAGCCTACATGACATAGGAATGAAGATCTATCGTGATAGATCGCGTAGGTTGGTTGGCCTAAGTCGGCGTGCATATTTTGATAAAGTACTAAAAAGATTCAGTATGGAAGAGTCCAAGAAGGGATTTCTTCTGATGTCACATGATGTTTATCTTTTTTTTTTATAAGTAAGTAATCATCTCTAAGGAAATGTGTCCCAGAACACAAGATGAGAGAGATAGGATGAAGAGGATCCTATATGCATCAGCAATTGGATCCATCATGTATGTCATGCTATTTACTCGGATTGATGTCTCATGTGCTTTGAGCACTTGTAGTAGATATCAATCAGATTGAAGTGAGCATCACTGGATGGCTGTCAAGAAAATTCTTCAATACCTGAAGAGGACAAAGGATATGTTCTTGGTTTATGGAGGGGAAGATGAGCCTAGTGTAAGAGGATACAGTGATGCTAGTTTCTAAACAGACAAAGATGATTATCGATTGCAATCAGGGTTTGTATTTTGTCTCAATGGGGGTGTAGTGAGCTGGAAGAGCTCTAACCAAAGCACTATAGCAGACTCTACAATGGAGGCTGACTCGATTGCATTATCAGATGCGGCCAAGGAGACAGTTTGGATTAAGGAGTTCATCATTGAACTTGGTGTGGTTCCCACGAGTATTGATCCAATACATATCTATTGTGACAACAATGTAGCAATCGCTCAAGTCAGGGAACCACGGTCTCATCAGAAGTCCAAACAGATACATAGATGATTCCACCTCATCAGAGAAGTAGTTGAGAAGAAAGATGTGCAGATTAGAACAGTGCATACTGACAACAATCTCGCCGATCCACTGATGAAGCCTTTGTTGCAGCGGAAGCATGAAAGGCACTTGAGATCTTTTGGTATTAAATACATATATGATTGGCTGTACTGCAAGTGAGAGATTGTTAAAATGGGTGCCCTAGAGCCAATCAATTATTGCAGAATTTTTTTTGTTAAGTATTATTGTAGAATTGATTCTTTGTAATAATGTTCATTGATCAATAAAAAGACATTTTAATTTATATCGCGTAAATCATTATTGTATGTATTGATCCTTAGATTCGTAGAACAGTGACGAGGGTATCATATGTTTCAAATCTCGACAATGAGAACCCTATGGGCTTATATGGTGACCATTCTAGAAACATCCGTAGCGCTAGTATTATTCTAAAGTTAGGGCACAGGTAATACGGTAAGGCTATCACAGTGTTGAACGACCTTGTCGAAAGGCAGTGACTAATCTCACTTGTCAAGGCTGTTTGGTAACAACCTAGTGCTACACATGGGTGCATGCTATAGGCAAGTTCACTATACTGACCCACCAGAGGATTCCACATGGATGGTAACCCTAATGTCTACAGAACGAACCCTCTAACTAATGGTGATGCATGTGATCCTTAGACTTGAGATCACTAGAGAGCCTTGTGCATCGATTGGTGTAGTTTGACGCTAGCCCAATGGAGTTTTATTTAAAGCTGTCAATACGGTTGTGATTAGCTTCATCAATGAGTGTATCAAGACTATGGTGGATCGACAGAGAATTCATCACTCCCAGGTACGGGGAGAAGTTATCTCACTGCTCGGTCTAGTTTATAATTTAGGTCATTAGTCCAGTAGTTGAATACATACATATCGAGAGTAACTGAGGATTACATTATGTCTATACCCTTGTCTCGTTGAGATAGCGGATGATGAAAGGATTTGATTGTACAATAACCGTATCGTTGACAGGTAGCTTCTTTATTGTATCTGAATCTACCGGGCGGCCATGATGCCTTGCTAGGTGCCAATCCCGATACTACACACCACCGTTGACAGGTGCAATTAAATTAAATAAGTGAGATTATATTTAAATATGTGTTCTCATATATTTGAATGAATTATTATTTTTTTTTTTTGTTAAGTAAGTAATAATATTATAAAAAAGAGAGAAGAATGTACAAAGGCCTGATAAAGGGCGACCAGCCTATTTTGGGACATGCCCCAAAATAGGAATCAAAGGAAACAAGCCTACAAACGGCCATTCACTCTTGGGGTAAATCTTAAACCAAAAAACCACGAAGAAAGCAAGGAGAACAACAACAATTCCACCTACCATAGGACACCTCCCTAGGTTAGGATCATTAAAAGAAAACCATGATATCAAACTCGTTACAAATGATAGAAACACAACCAAGCAAAAACCATTATCCGTAATCCAGTCTTCAAATGGTGTCGAGAACTTGAGGAACATCTTTCAAAATAGATCTGGGGAGGCCCCAATCATTCGCCAACTTCCCATTGCTATAGGATACTTTGATATTCCTAAGTTCCATGGCTTTGTCTCTCACAACACTTTTGATAACATCAATTATGGTGAACGAATCCTTATAGTCACCCCTAAAAATTCTTGAATTTCGCTCCCTCCAAATCCAATAAACCGTAGCCCGTAAACATAGCCTACCCAAAGTGAATTTTAAGCTCTTACCTTTCCATTTCCTTGCCAAATAGGGGATGTAATCATGCCAGGGTCTAACCACATAGCCAAGGTCAGCAAGCATAAGGATCTTACTCCAAATAGACTTAGAAAACGGGCATGCAAAAAATAAGTGGTCAAGAGATTCCATAGATGAGTTAC